GAAACTTCTTTACTCTGAGAGCAATTAACCAGCATACTGGATTTCCACAGCTCTTCTCAGAACAGCAAAAGTGCTTTCATTCCTGTGGTCCAGAGGCCACGCAGGATGCCAGCACCTGCATGCTTTGTGTGCTTGGATGCTCAAGTCACTTGCTGAGGTTGGCAGTGGGTCTTAATTTCCAGAGGATGGTGGGATGGGAGGACAGGCTCGGGACTAGTAGTTTTCGTAATTTTCCGTTCCTCCAATTTTAGTTTGGTACAGCTCAAGCTTTGGTAGCTTCATAATTTCCTCAAAAACATGGAAGGCCCTGGTGAAGGCAGGGCTGACGCAGGGTAGGTGGCAAGGGGAGAATCTGAAACGCAGAGCCCCTGGTGTGAGGGGTGAGTCCCACCAGGGTGCAGGAGATGTGGTGGGGCTGGGGCATCTCCTGCTGTGTGGCAGCGCCCTACAGTGTCCTGGGGACTCTGCTCAGGCTGGAGTACCTCTGCAGCTGCCATTTCAGAGGGCACTGGCACCTTTCCAGAAAAGAAAGTGCATTTTTCTTTCGCAGAACTTCTGCCCGTCCCACAAATGTATTCATTTACATACTTTATCTAGCTTTCCTGCCTGAAACTATTTCCACATATTTTCCTTACCCCATTTAAATTGCTTTTAAACCGTGTCTAATACCCCACAGGTCCCTTCAATTCACAACTGCTGTTATTTAGTGAAATGTTTTCCCTAGGTCAACAGACTTTCATTTCAGGGTAGATAATCCTCAGTATATCCCCTGCGGGAGGTAGGGCTCTGCTCTGCAACTGAGAGACTCTTTGTCAGGGTAATAAACTGAGAGCAGGATTTAGAAGAAATTACCTAGGAATGGAGTCCTTTGCTACAGCTTTTTATTTCTCCTTCAAGTCATGTTTTCCTAAGGGCTCTTCAAATATAGGGATCAAGAATACTTATTATCTTTGCCGAATGAAACAAAGGGAACAGATGGATTAGTCTGTTAGTAGAGAAGGGCATATTTGTAAAGGCCACTACCAAGACAAAAAAAAAGGCACTATCTTTAAGTAAAGGTGAGTTTTGTTTGGTCTTTGTTCGGTACAGCAAAACGTACACTTACTGGGTCATGAAAACATTGTTTATTTGTCTGGTTCTTATTTCCAATATGGCTTTCCTAGGAAAATAAAGTTCTCTAATATAGGATCTCCCTAGCAAAATAGGATTTGTTACATTGCTTGGCTTATGACAGCAATAGATTTGAGTTTGAGCAGCTTTCCTAAGAGGCTGTTCTTGACTTAGTGTTACTGACCTCTAGATTTCCATTGCACTCTTGTTTCAAAGGCGGGCATTGTAAGCAATGAGGTGCCTGATATCCATCTTTCCCACTCATAGCGTAGCTTTAAAAAGCAATATAATTTTCTTGGTTCCTCACTCCCCTCTACACCTTCATGGCACTTGCGAGAGTCTCATTATTTCATACAAAGAGAGCAAACCCAGTTCATAGACAAAATGTGACCACTGGGCAGGTTTGTTTCAGTTTGTAAAAATACCTCTGGCTCAAGTAAGCTCTTACCTGTTACCCAATCCCACAATGATATGGTTCTGCACAAATAAATGACCTTTGGCTCTTAGAGGCTTCACAGGCTTTTATTGACTGAGCCCAGAGCACAGCATCCTTCTGAAAATCTCAGAAGTGCAGACCAGTTAAGACCCTGCATTGTGGGCACTGAAGAGAATTTACTAATGGATTAAGAGCAGTATTTTTCCAGCCTCTGAGGGCCGTCATGATTTTGCATGTCAGAGGCACACAGAAAGCACAGAGGTGAGAACTCCTGGGTCACTGAATTCAGGTCCCTGCTGCGGCAGACAGGGAGAAGTTCTTGCCTTTCCTTGCATTCGGTGTGAAGAGGTAGAAAAAGTCATGCTCTCAGGTCTTTCAGTCTCCTCCTGTTGTGTGTCTGTCCCGGTACCAAATTGCTTCACTGGAAGACCATCAGTGTGCCCTGCATAATCCTCTTGCACTCTCACAAGTCACTGGTGGAACAATATTGACTCCCTTGCCTTTCAGTAACGGAAATGTCATTTTAGGATAGGCCTCAAAACATATTAAGATCAGTTAACGATGTCATAAATTGAGGTTTACTTGGTCTTGTGGAAGATTTCCACCTGACCCATGTATCTTCCTTACAACCCTACTTGTAATTACTCTGTACTGAAACAATTTTTCTGAGCTCATGGGTGAGCGTGATATCAATTCAATGCACTGTGTTTTCCCTGTTCTTGTCCCTGTCTTTACTACGCCAGCTATTCTCTGGTCATACGATGCCAGTCCTTGACGAAGAGCATTCTGTACATCCTCGCCTGGTGGGTTTCAGTTCTTCCAAGGACCAAGGACAGAGTCTGTCTTCAGCCTCAACTTGCTAACTTGGCATTTTTCTGCTGGATGTCCTGGCCTCCTGGATGTCCTGGCCTCCTGGACTTTGGGTGCAAGGCCCATTACCCATCGCTCTGGAGCCTCCCTGTATATTCCCTGGGGGTGCCTACATATTATTTTGGTATAGAGAGGCAAGCACAGTCATAGTCATGCCATGGTTAACACATGCATTCACTGGCAGCTATGCTTTTAAAGCCTATATATAATTTCCCAGAAGTCAAGCAACACAAACTGAAATAAGTATTTAACAATATTTATGGTTCATGCCCACTGCCTGATTTGTCTTCCTGTCAGCCTTGCCTCTGCCAACATCATCTGAAGACAATTTTCCATTTCACTGAGAAGCTAATCTGCGGAAAAAGGAGGGAAGGAGGAGACCAGAAGAACTGGGGTCTATTGACAAGAGAGCTGTCTCCGTGAAAACACGGACAGTGATTTCTTACCTGTTCTCATAAGTAGAAAACGAAAGTCAATACAAAGCATGGGAAAGCCAAATGTTGCGAGATTGCCTGTGTGTTTCTCAGTCAATACCCAAACCTTTCGCCTTTGATGTCTCACCCAACCCACTAGGTGTCTAGGTGTCCCTCTGTGCTCATTTGGTGCTACCACGAGTGCTTGGCGAGGGGGCAAGAGGGGAGTGAGGAGGCAGAGGAGCCACCTTGCACTCTACTGAGCCTGCTGCTTCCATGGATTGTTATATAAAACTGACATTTTCATCTAAAAAATAAGGAGATTGTGCTAGAAAAAGACTGATAATGAATAAGATGAATCACAGCCACCCCTGGGACAGGGCCACCCTGCTAGGGGTGGGAGGGAATGGAGAAGGGTTGCTGCTCTCGTGCTAGCACCATGCCTAGGGTGCTCATCTGCCACACGGAGTGGTAAGACACTGAAATCTTGGATGGGAGGTGCTAGGCATCCGGTTAAAATGCCTTATCTTCTCAGGCCAAAACATTCCTGTGCCTGCTATGGGCTTGGACATATAGCTGGGAATGGGCAAGGCTAGCAGTATCACTGGTAAGTGGGTGCAACCCATGGAGGATGCCAAGTCAGGGGCATGTAAGCAACAGGTATAAACCCTGAGAAGCCTCAGCTGCAACCGATCCATTAAACTCCATATTCGGATTGCACTGATGTTCAGATGTTCTTTTGGGAACAGCCTTAGCCCCTGAGTCACTGTGCTCCAGGTTGGTCTCAACATACCTGTTCTTAGAGGAAACTTTCATTGCAAATGAAAACTTTCAACTTGAAAACTTTCAACGTGAAACTTTCATCAAGATCCTAAACACCAGGCTATGGGGTACATCTCTGCCAAGCTACAGCAACGTTGTGTCTCAGGGCACCGTGAGGATGCTGGTGCCCCCCATCTGCTCATCCAGGTCAGCTGGCTCTCATGAGACGTTGCACAGTTCCTCTTTGCCCTGCTCGTGATGAGCATCAGTGCCCCTTGCTGCTTGCTTGAGGGAGCAGCTCCCCGTGCTTCTCTGGAGCCCACACACGACGTGCTGAAACCTATCTGCAGGGAACTTTTACCATCTTAGTTCTTCTTCCTTTTTTTTTTTTTTTTTTTTTTTAATGGAACAATTTTTCAGATCCTACCGCCTGCAAAGCCAGCTGGCTTAGTCATCCCGGGCTCCAAATGTGCGTGGCTCGCTGGGAGACAGCGGCTGTCGCACAAGTGCTATAAAATAAATGATACTCTGCAGCAGCCTCTGACATCTCTGGGCCTCCCAAGGCTCGAGGTGAGTGCTGCAACCACACGTGGAGATTTTTCCCCTTTCCAGCAGTGCAAAGCTCCCAGGTCACAACTGCTGCCACCACACAGGGTGAAGCTGTGTTGAAATCGGTGATAAAGTCCCCCCAGATCTTGGTGCAGACCTAGATTATACCCAGGAGAGCCATTTAGCCCCGCTGTTTGTCTTGCGAGCCTCGTCCTTTTGCATATGCATAAGCACATGTCCCAGTATGGACACATGCAGCATAAAATAGAGTTATTTTCATGCCTATTTGTAACAAAGGAGTGTGACTCAAGACCGAGAATCCTTTATTTTCAAGATCTCAGCTCATATTGCTGGGGTGTGGTACTCCTTACCTTTCACCAGAAATGCTGACGCAGGAGTTATCACCGATATTTCAGATAATAGATTGCAGATGGAAACGTTTCCTTTGTTCTCGGTCTCATAAATAAGGAGGGAGGACCAGCAGCCCTCTGTGACCACAAAATGAACAGCTGGGCATTTTTGCTACGCCGAGACATGCAGAAAATGCACATCTACGCGTTATTCTCCTGAGAAGCAGCTCTCAGAAACTGGAAGTGCCTGCAGTGAGCCGGGTGCTGCTGCTCCTGAGACCCCTTTGCTTGAATATTCACCAGTGGGGAAAGGTTTTGCCACAAAACTCCTCCTGACCCTCAGCCACCGTGTACAGGGCACAACTGATGGCACGCACACAGTTCTCAAACAGCTGCTTGCAGCTGGTGATGCCGACCCACCCGTACCAACAGCTGAGCATCACTCACATGTGGCTGTCCTTGTTTCAAAAGCTGCTTGTGGATGGGCTTTGTGCCTGCCCTTTGGCTTACCATCAAAGAAGCAGCACTCTGGTTGTGTCCGAGTCCTTTTTCCCCAGAGGGTGATGTTGTCCCAGCCAGCAGGGTAAAGCCTTTGGACGCAAGCCTGGGTAGATGGCAAGCAAGTGGAGGTCAAGTAGGAAAAAAAAAAAAAAAAAAAAAAAGCATCTCTCACTCCTCCAAGCAGCTCAGCAGGCGGCTGTCTGAGAGGAGGCTGCTATCTCGAGTGGAGGAGGTGGGATACACGGCTTAGAAGCACTTCTTTTGAATGAGATTTCTTCTGGGTAATAATATCATGGAATGCATCAGGACGGAGCGTCTCATCCTTGAATCACTGGAGCCCACCTGTGACATGACTCATGGCCTTGATGACTGGTTTAGGATGACTGAGCCTCACCAGGGCCCTCTGATTAAGCAGCCACCAGCACTCCTGAAGTGCCCTGACTTGCCAGGACCCCAAATATAGAAGATTTCATTTGGACCAGGAGAAACTTCTGATGAATAAAGCTTTCCACGGGAGGCAACAGCCCCCGTTCTCCAGCAGCAGGAAGAACAGTGGTTGTTAAAGCGATACTCCCGGCCCCAATTGGTCCCTAATTTAGCTGAAAAGGAAGATAATCTAAGCACTTCCAGCATGAGTGCTAATGTAAACACCCTCACCATCTGGTTTATTTACACGCACGCGCTCCAAGAGCTCAGTTTATAAACCACCTTCTTCTCCCGAGCTGTTCGATGCTGCCGAGCTGCATCCCATGGAAAAGGAATAAAAAAGACACCTCTGGTCTCGGTCCCCGATGAAGGAGGCTTGCAAACAGCATTTCCCAGTGCCCTGCTTTTACGCCAGCCCGCGTGTGGCAGGGATGGGGACACGCGCGTCGGTCTGGCTGCAGAAAGCCACGTCCTTTCACAAATGGGAAATAATCGACACTTCACTCTGCTGGCAGCCAGCACCCCCACCGGCGGCTGGGTTTGTCATTTTGCATCCCCTCAGAGGCTCTGATTTCAAATTTACAGTAACATATGCCCAGAGAGCTGCCGGCCTTCCCCCAGCATCACGAATGTTTATTCCCTGCTGCCCCACACAGCGACGGGTGAGGGACGAGTGACATTTCTGCTTCTGCCACAGGTCCCTTGGACTCCTGTGGTGGGAGAACAGAACCTTTTTGTTCCTTCCCCTCTGTTTTTTTTTTGTTTTTTTTTTTGTTTTTTTTTTTTTTACATTATTTTATTATTTATACCAGGCAGCTGGGGACTGGGGTGTTTCCAGTGAGGTTATTTAGCTGCATGACTCCCATTAATGTAAATGACAGTTGCACAGCTGAAGCTGTGCATATTCTGTTGAAGATTTACCCCTGGGGTTATCATTTCGCAAAGACTTCCCTCTCCCCCTTACAGCTTTTGCTGCAATCATCACTGCATAGGGAGAAAATTGGAAGTCCCCACACACAAGGAGCGAGCAGCTCACTTTGGGAATGGAAATTTGCACCAGGAGAGCATTACGGAGGGACAGGCACTATGGGAGGAGCACACCTTTCCCCTGACCTCGCCGTGCTGTCCCAAGACAGGCAGTGTTTGCTGAGATGCTGCAGAGCCTTGTGCCACAAAGGTATTAAAACAGGATGGTCAGAACAAAAAAAAAAAAAAGATTTTATTCTTTCTTTTTTTTTTTTTAAACCTTGTTTTCAAAACCAGATTTGTTTAAAAGATAAGCAAAACATCTCTCGTACCTTTCCTTCCAACAACTCATTCTCTGTTTTGGTCGGGTAGGATGACCCTAGGCAGGACGTGCCTGCACGCTGCTCACCCGGCAGAGCATCACTGCTATGCAGCGTGAGCGGGGCTGCCCTCTCCCTGAAGACAGCCGTGCCCTGGGAGCACTCCCTCTGAAAAGCAGTGCCTGCTGGAGGAGTTATTTGTCCCCCTGACATCAGCCATAAATTCTGAGGTCAGGAGGAGCCGTTATGCTAGCTGGTATGACCCCTGATATAACACAGACCGTGATTTGTGCATCCAGCCCAGCACTTCCTTTGGAGATCCAATAAATCTCGGAGCAAGGCAGTCAGTCCTGATTTAAGAGCTGTGAGTAGTAGTTCTGTGTCCCTGGGCAAGCTGCTGCAGTGGTTAATTGCCCTTGCAGCATGAGTGCACATCTCGTTCCTGGACCAAACCTGTCTGCCTCAATGCCTTGATCCACCTCTCCTGGCCGGAGCAGCTCTCCCCCAGAGGTGCTGTCAGCCCTCACCAAGTCATCTCCTAGCTCTCCCCTTGGTCAGACAAACAAATTGAATTTCTTCAGCGTGATTCATCAGCTTGCTTCTGGGAGGTGTAGAGACTGAGCTTGCGGAGAGGAACCAGCAGCATACCCGTGCCAGCACCCACAGGGTTTCAAAGCCCACAGCCCCACACTCCTGATGGTGCTGTCACCAATGCCACCACTTTTTGGGGACCCAGCCACCCGCTGGGGTGGTGTCAGGGGTTCTGCAGCAGGGTGAGAGGAGGAGGAAGCAAGACAGCATCGGGGAGTGATGAGAGGAGGATGCTGCCTTGCATGGGGAAGGGCAGGAGGTGAAGATGAGGGGGGCATTGTCACAGGACCGGTGCTTTAAAAGCTATCTAGAGGCCAGAGTGAATTGGCTGCTGCTCTATTTTAAATCGATCCTTGCACTCACAAGGGAGAAAAACAAATTCCTCTAAAAGGGTCAGAAATAGTGGAATTAGTCTGCATCTTTTCACTGAAGGTTGTGGTTTCTTTCCAGCTGCCACAGGATAGAGTGATGTGTGTGCTTGACTGTTCAGCCCCTGATCTTTCATTACCTGCACATCAGGTTTAGTGCTCCACAGAGAATCAGAGAAGCTCTCCTCCTTCTTCACTCTGTACTCCAGCTGCCCTTTGCCTGCAGGGAGCCAAGGAGACAAAATGGGCTGGGAACATCCTACAGTGGTGGGCTGGCATGTCAGCATGCACCCCTTGGGGCAAGAGGCGTGGTAGGAGAGGGAAAGCATCACGGAGGAATTTTACCAGTCTTGCTACGCTGGAGAAGACAGGCTTGGGCGAGCTGGAGGTCTGGTCCAATGAGTTCCCCAATGCCACTTGGGGCTGGTGGCTTTGCCAGCCTGCTCTCTGAGGGTGTACTGGGGCCAGATTTCTGCACTTCTGCAGATAAAAATAAGTGCAACCCTTGGTGTGGCTGCAAAGTCGCTCTCAGTAGGGTCCTTGGTGTCCCAGAGCATTAAGACCCAAGGCATCCATGAACCCAAGGCATGCTGTCGCGTCACAGGCTCTATCTGATATTAACTCCAGAAAACACCAAAGAGAAGGGAGTAAAATGCATCCCCCAGGTGAAAGGTGATCTCCTGCGTGGCATTTTTGGCAATTACTCTCCATTTACCCCTCCTTTTCTGACAGTCCTGTCACTGTTGGAATAAAAAAATAAATCGCACGTGTAGAAGGACAGCTAAAGCTTTCCGAAACCCAGTCTGTAGCACAGGAGAAGTCAACTGCTATTTCCAGTGCAATGACAGATCCCTGAATTTCTCCCCCACAGGTCCCCTGCATCCCCTCAGGTTTGTCCCTAAGGCACAGGTCAGGCTGACCACCAGGACACCCTCAGGAAGGGGGTGCAGGAGGCAGCTGAGGGAAGGAGGTCCCTCTCAAAGCACACAGAACATGTGCCAACGGAAACCTCACACAAAAACCACCAGTACTGTGGATAAACTAGGCCTCAGGGGCAGGAGGAGCCTTTTTAAATTAAACACAATGAACCGAGGAGGTAGCACGTCCCAGCCCTAGCTGTGTTGTGAAGGCTGTGGGCCTCCTCAGCCTCAGCCGCTCCCTCAACATGCAGTGATACACAAGCTCAAAGGGTGTCTTGTTAGGGCTTAATTTGTCACCTACTTAAAGGGCTAATGAATTAGTGTTTAGGTGGTGTTTGGGTTCCAAACCGGACTGACACAAGGGAGCCAGAAGGTGGATTGGGGTGCCTGTGGGCCCTCTAGTCTGTGCAGGCCTAGCAGGAGCAGAGGTCCCTTCAAGGCCACGGGACAGCTGGGCAGAAGCTCTGTCTGTTCTCATAATGCCTTTGCAGGAGCACAGCAGAGACCTGCACTGCTCTACAAACGAGGCAGTTCGATGCACTGGTTTTGTTTGTACTGGCTAACTTTTCTTGCCTTGCCCTGGAGACTCTGTACTTTGGATACTCCTCAAGGTCATGAGTGGAGCTTTCAAAATACAAGTCTGAAATAAACCATGCTTTTTTTTTTTTTTTTTTCACTTGCCCCCAAATACTGGCCGTGATTCATGTGCAGATTTAATACCAGTGCCTAGCTGGGTGCCCTTGTGTGCTGCTCTATTGATTTTGATGGCTCTAGTTACAGATAACGCTTTTAAAATCATAGGACCGGACAGGATCTCCTGGGCTGTTCTGTCGCATCTTCTTCTGTCACACAGAGTCAATAGTATCCAATCCCTTCCGTGGCCTCACAAAGCTCCAGCCTAAAACTAGGCAACATTTTGCCCCTAGGACTCCTGCAGGAAAGCCTTTGTGGCGTTTCATTCCTCCAGCGGTCATTAATTTTGTCATTTCTCCTCTAACATAGCCAGGGATGGTTCAGAGACATCTGCTCAACGGCGATCATTGTCCTCAAGCTTAAATAGCTCTTCTCCTTGCTTAGTGGGCACATTGGAGGAAAGAGGGGCTATGGGGGGCAGACACAACAGCTCGCAGCCCTGGGGAGATGCTGGGATCCCCCGGGGCACGAGGCAGGGCTGCCACAGGAGGAGGCCCCAGCAGCCAGGCATGGTCCCAAGCCTGGGCAAGGCCTCCATGGCTTCTCAGCCCCTGGCCCTGCTGCCTCCAGGCCTTTCTAGAAATATTCTAGCCGATACTTCTTCCATTTGTATTTGCCTTTTCGTAGCCGCAAGATGCTCGTGGCTCCGAGCCATCTCATGCCTGAGTGATCCATCTCTGTTGCTTTGTGGATAAGCTGCCAGCTTATAGCAGAAATTCTTGTTGTTAGTGTCCAAGTACACGGTGGTGCATTTTTCTTGCTAAATTACATCCCATTTTTCTCAATCTCAGCTGTAAGGGCACTCAGCTCCTCCTACGTCATCCTCCAGCCCTTATCGGTACCCACAGTGACTCCCGACTTCACGTCATTTCTGCTCTTTCTTCTCAGGTCACTTAAAGAAAAAACAGATTAAGATAGCATCCTCGGCGTCTTCTTGATGAACTCCACCAGGAACTTGCTGCTAGATTTTAATTCCCCTTTCAAGCACAGCCTGTCTTCTACCCACTGGCAGGTTCTTGACCCAGACTAAATCTCTTCCACTACACCACATCTTAACGAGCGCATTCCTGCTTGGCAACAAGGAATCAGACAGACCTGGTCTCCCCCGTGCCCCGACTTGAGCAAGTCAGGCAGGGCCTGCAGCTAGTAATCCTATCCTCTCCTTCCTCCAATTTGGCATGTGCTGCCCCATATTTCTTCATTTCTTCCTGCAGAGCTTCTCCCAACACTTTTCTCCCCATGCTGCATGGCTAGCCCATCACCGTCCCCACTTCCTGCTCTTTCCCTGAACCCAGCTGCCACATTGGCTCTTTTTTTCTTCCGTTTCACAGCTTTCAGCTTGATGGCTTCATGAAAAGCCACTGGTACCAGCCTTGCAATTGCAGATGGTGGTCCTTTCTACTCAATGGGTTGGAGGCATCCTTCTCGCTTTGACCTGATGCGCTCTTTCCTTATCTCAGCTTCTCTCCCAGCTCATAAATTCCAGCCTTTGCATCCATTTTTCTTTGCCCCCTGCTCAACCCAATAGCTGTGCTGCTGACAAATGAGACAAAGCATTTAATTCTCTTTGGGGCCACAGAGTATTTAGTTTGTGTTGGGCTGATGCCCAAGTCACCTGGACTAAACCATGTATTTTTGCATCTTTCCGTCTGCCAGCTTCTTCTTTCCTTTACTGCTCTCCCATTGCTCTCTGTTTGTCCTCTCTGCATGTTTAATACCACCACTGTTAAAGTTTTACAGGCTTGGGCTGTATTTTTATGTGTGTAATATTCAAACGGTTCAGATGTTTTTGCAATATTACATTTATTTTCTCCCACACTTAAAACTCCTTTGGTTGTCACCACGGAGGTGTCTTTAAAACCTTAAGTGAGGGGTGGAAAAAGTCTTCCTTCTCCTCCCCATTTCAGATCTAATACTTTTTATGTCAGAGTGTGCTTGTGTATTTGAATGTGGGAAATGAACTCGGTGTCACCCCTTCAGTTCTCTTCTGGCCCTCCTGAGCTTGTTCTGGAGTTATTTAGAGCCAGTTGCTCTCTGGTTTTCCTCTGTGGGCAGCTGAGAGATCGCTTGAGCTTTTCCAAGCTGCGAGCTGGATATGTCCCACAGTCACTAAGGTGACTGCCACTTGCAGCCCGTGAGCAACCCACCATGCTGCAGCACAGTGCACAAACCCTCCAGCAAAATGCATGGGTGCTGGCAGGGGTGGGGGCACCCTAAGGGTTGTTCTTTATGCTCGGCCTGCCCACGTGAAACATTCCCCAGAGGTGCAGCTGGGTGAAG